GAGTTATTTAACCCGATGAAATGACGGTTGATGGGTGCAGCACAGCAACTTGGCACAAATATACATATGTAACAAACCTGCACGTTATGGCACATGTACCCTACAACTTAAAGTATAATAATAATAAATAAATTTAAAAAAAATAATATTAAATAAAAATAAAAATCAAAATAAAAATAATTAGTTAATACATACAATTAAATGCCTGAGTAGTTAATAATGGTAGAGATGTTGAAAATGTCACCCACATTCATATAGGTGGAAATCACCATGTTTACTAGCAACCTATGGATGTGCAAATTGAATGAGTGAATGAATACAAATGGGTGTATATATATATATATTTTTTTTTACACTACAATGGTTAATTTTATTTGTTCAAGAGCTCATGTTGCAAGCATTAAACCAAGCATAGGCTTTGATTCTATGAGCCCAAATTCACATATCGAAGAAGATCAAAGCAAACTGCGATCCGTGTACACAGATGAAAACTAAAGGCTCAGAGTTAATAACATTGTAAGTTTTTAAATTTCTATAGCCTAGAGCCCAGTAGTCACAGGTCTTTTAGGTCCTTCTGGATGTCCCACAGGGTATCCGCACTTTTCTTGAGCTGAGCAACTTCATCATCCTTTAGCTTCTGGTTGATAACGCTGGTTAATCCTCGGGCATTGAGGATACATGGAAGGTTCAGGAAGACTTCATTCTCGATGCCATACATTCCCTTTACCATTGTTGACACGGGATGAATCCTGGATAGATTTTTCAACATGGATTCAATAAGAGCAGCCACACTTAATCCAATAGCCCAGTTGGTATATCCTTTTAGCTTGATGACTTCATAGGCACTTTCAACCACCATCTTATGCACTTCCTTCCAATTTTCACTATCATTGTCAGTTCCCATTTCTGGATTCAATTCCTGGAGAGAAACCCCTGCCACATTCACGCCACTCCACACAGCCACACTTGAGTCGCCATGTTCCCCCAAAATCCATCCATGGCAGCTGCTGGGATGAATGCCAAGTTTTTCAGCCATAAGGTAGCGAAATCTAGCAGAATCCAGATTACATCCACTTCCAATCACGCGGTGTTTGGGTAATCCACTTAGTTTCCAGGTAACATGTGTAAGAATGTCCCTGAGTAGTTAATAATGGTAGAGATGTTGAAAATGTCACCCACATTCATATAGGTGGAAAACACTATGTTTACTAGCAACCTATGGATGTGCAAATTGAATGAGTGAATGAATACAAATGGGTATATATATATATTTTTTTTACACTACAATGGTTAATTTTATTTGTTCAAGAGCTCATATTGCAAGCATTAAACCAAGCATAGGCTTTGATTCTATGAGCTCAAATTCACATATTGAAGAAGATCAAAGCAAACTGCGATCCGTGTACACAGATGAAAACTAAAGGCTCAGAGTTAATAACATTGTAGTTTTTAAACTTCTATAGCCTAGAGCCCAGTAGTCACAGGTCTTTTAGGTCCTTCTGGATGTCCCACAGGGTATCCGCACTTTTCTTGAGCTGAGCAACTTCATC